TTTGGATAGAGAATGGAAAGTTTGGATAATTTCCACTCCCCAAAAAACGGATGGCGCAGTGGCTGATTGCAACTAACTCAGCAGAGATCAAAAAAGACAAGAAGGGATGAATCATCCAAATAGGGGAATTCTACAGATCACTAAGTAGTCGTGAAAAGAAGGTCGAGGAAGAAGTATGCAAGCAAATTAGGGAAATGAGTAAAAGACATAGAGTAATAATAAGGGGATTTCAACTACCCCCAAATAAATCAGCTGGAAGAGGTAGTAAAGGGGATCAGTGAATACGTTCCTTCAATGTGTACTGGACTCCTTTCCTACCCAGTGTGTAAAAGGCCCAACAAGGGAGGAATCACTCCCTGATTTAGCAATGGGAAGTAAACCAGAGCAGATAAGAGAAGTAAGAATAGGGTAATATCTATGCAATAGTGAACATAACTTAATAACTTAACATAAACTTAAACATAACTTCCCCTTAAAAGGGGAACATCTAGGCAATAATGAACAAAACTTAATAAAGATTGAGAACAACATGAGTATGAAAATGACCAGGGTAATAGAGTGGAAAAAAGCTGATTTTGAGGGGATGAGAAATGAACTTGGGAAAATAAACTGGGAAACAATATTGGCAAACAAAAAGATAGAGCAGCAGTGGGAAACATTTAAAACTCCGATCAATAGAGTCCAGAAGAAATATATTCTGCTAAAAAACAAGATAACGTTAAACAATAATGGGCACCGTGAGTGAATAAAGACATAAGAGCAAAGTTGAGACTGGGGAAAGAGGTGTTCACTGAGTACATAAACAACAAGAGAGAACATGACAAAAAAGAATACGAAGAGGTTAGGAAAGAAGTCAAAAAAACAATTAGGAGGGCAAAGAGAAACTATGAAATTAAATTAGCAAGGAATATAAAAAGAAATAGTAAAATATTCTACACACATAAATGAAAAAAAGAAAAATCAAATAGAAATAGGGCCACTAAGGGATGGACAAGATACAATCGCAGACAGCGACAGCGAAATGGCAGAAATATTGAATAATGACTGCCTCAGTATTTACCAGGGAAACAAATCAGGTGGACATGAGAGTAGAAGAGATCAAAAACGGTAATAATAATAATAATAATAATCTTTGCATTTGATATAGCGCTTTTCACATCTTCTAGACGTCTCAAAGCACTTCACAGAATATAGTTAAAGTGAATTGACTGTATGTTTTATGGGCGAAACGTAGCAACCAATTGCGCACAGCAGTGTCCCACAGACAGTCGTGGATTGAGTGACCAAATTATTATTGTTTTTTTCTTGACGGATTTTTATCAGGCGTATGGAGTAAAGAAACTTGCCTAAGGTTTCGCCCTGCTGGGAATCGAACCCAGGTCTCTCGCTTGTGAGGTGAGTGCTCTAACTACTGAGCTACAGGACTCCACTTACTTGGATATAAATGTGTTTAAGATAAAAAGGGGGAGATAATCAATAAACTAACCAAAGTCAGGGAGGATAAAATCCCTAGTCCGTGTATATTAAAAGAATCTAGGGAAGAGATAGCCAAGGCATTATTACATATATATAATAATTCATTAGAAAAGGGAGTAGTGCCAGAGGACCTCATGTTATACCTACATTTAAAAAGGGAGATAGAACAAGCCCAGAGAATGATAGACCTGTCACCTTAACATCGGTGGTTGGAAAGATAATGGAATCCTTACTGAAAGAGGTAATAGAAAAACATCTAGAAACCAAAATATAATAAAGAATAGTCAGCACAAATTTCAAAAAGGAAGCTCATTCTTGACCAACCTCATTGAATTCCTTGAAGAGATAACAGAAAGAGCAAGAGTAATGCAGGAGATGTAATATATTTGGATTTCCGAAAGGCGTTCGATAAGGTACCGCATTATAGACCAATGAATAAGGTCAGAGCATGTAGGGTCATGGGGAAAAGTAGCAGAATGGATAGCAAGCTGGCTACAAGACAGAAAACAGAGAGTAGGGGTAAAGTGTAGCTACTCAGACAGGCAGAGGGTGGGAAGTGGTGTTCCACAAGGATCGGTATTGGGACCACTGTAGTGCAAAACTTACATTAATGATTTGGACTCGGGAATCGAAAATACAAATTGTGGGGGTATAAGGACTGGAGCAAATTGCAAGACATTAATAATCTTGCTGAATGGGCATTTAATTGGCAAATGGATTTCAATAGACATAAGTGTGAGGTGGTACATTTTGGTAGGAAGAGTAAGAAAGTCACATACTGACTGGAAAATAAGAATCCAAATGGGGTAGAGGAGCAAAGGGATCTAGGGGAACAGATACACAAATTGCTAAAAGTAGCGACACAGGTTAATAAGGCCATAAAAAAAGCAAACCAAACATTGGGGTTAAATTCTAGAGGGATCGAAATGAAAAGCAGTGAAGTCATGCTAAACTTATATCAAATCTTGGTTAGACTGCACTTGGAGTACTGTGTATAGTTCTGGTCCCTATATTATAGAAAGGACGTACAGGAGAAGGTGCAAAAGAAATTTACAAGGATAATACTGGAACTGGAGGTTATACTTCTCAGGAAAGGCTGAAGAAGCTTGGACTCTTCTCTTAAAATGAGAAGGGTGAGGGGTGACCTAATAGAGGTCTTTAAAACTATGAAAGATTTTGATAGCGTAGACATAGAGAAGATGTCTCCACTTGTGGGGGAGACCAAAACCAGGGGCCATAAATATAAAATAGTCAAAATAGGGATGTCAGAAGAAACTTCTTTACCCAGAGAGTGGTGAGAATGTGGAACTTGCTACCACAAGGTGTAGTTGAGGCAAATAGCATTTAAGGGGAAGCTAGATAGGTACGTGAGGGAGAAAGGAATAGAAGGTTATGCCGATAGGCCTAGTTGAGGAAGGGTAGAAGGAGGCTCATATGGAGCATAAATGTCGACATAGACAATTGGGTCGAATGGCCTGTTTCTGCGCTGTATATTGTAAACGCCTAATAATAATTCCTCAAAAAAGCAAAACAATAATAAATTGGTCATTTTCAATCCTCGACTGTTTGTGGGACATGCAGTGCGCAATTGGCTGCCGTATTTCGCCTACAGATATACAGTCAATTCACTTTACAGTCTGTTCTGTGAAGCGCTTTGAGACATTGAGAAGACATGAAAGCGCTATATCAAATGCAACGATTATTATTATTATTATTATACACTGTCCAGAATATTGTGATGTCCTCCCGACGTGAAAGGCGCTATACAAATGTAATCTTCTTGTTGTTATTAGGAAGTCTGGATTTGGTTTATCTGAAAAACAGGAGGTGGGGGAACTTTCAACATAGTGCATTCCTCAGTTGACTTAAAGATGCCACCCGTCTTCTCGGTGGTTCTGTTTGCCAAGCTCACTGTTATCCTCCCTCACACAGACACTCATCCCTTCCCGCCTATACTGCCCGAGCTGGAAGCATCCCCTACTAAGCTCTGTGAGCCAATCACCCCCATTGCCTAGTTTCCCATCGCTCAGAGGATTGAGTTCAGGATCCTTGTACTCACCTTTAAAGCCCTCCACTGTCTTGCTCCACCCTACCTCTGCAACCCACTAAAACTTCACCAACCTGTCTGTTCCCTCTGCTTCGTGGACACTGGCCTGCTCCATGGCCCCTACCTTGCTCGCCCCACCATCCACCAAATGCCTTTAGCCTTTCCGTCCCCACTCTCTGGAACTCCATCCCAGAGACCCTCCACCTCGCCTCTTTCCTTGTTTCCCTCAAGTTCCATCTCAAGACTTTCCTTTGACCACTCTTTCAGTCATCTTCTCTCCCCCACCCCCTATTGCCCACCACCCCTCTTGAATCCAACCCGCAGCTCAGGTGCAAACCCTCGACTGTCCAGCATCTTGGAACATCCTCCTGACATGCAAAGCACTGTGTAGATGTAATTTGTTATTTGTTTCTGCGTTAATGTGTATATCATATATCTTGGATAAGAAATATTTTGTAAGCGCTTTTTTTTTGCATTAAAGCTTATTGGGTCACAACAGACCATCAAGGTTAACAAAGTCCAAAAAGAGAACCACCGGACTAGAGTATGATCAAGGCAAGAACAATACTGAAATCTATTGCTTCATCTCCTCTGCAGTGAATAGGAGGCAATTTGCATTTAGTTAGATAAGACCTTAAACAGTCTTTCTGTTGGGGAACGTCCCTCACCTACAAATCCCTTCTCACCAAGAATCTCCCTATCTCTCCGATGTCTTCTTATCGCACTCCACCACTTGCTCTTTCTGCTCTGCTAACTCAGGTTTCCTACATGTGTCCCAGTGGCTGAGCTTTGAGATTCTACCCTTCCAACCTCTGGAACTCCCTCCCTCTACTTCTCTGCCTCACTCCCTTTCTATCTGTCGTTGCCTCAAAACCTATCTCGTTGATTACCTCAATTGTCACAACCTCCTCCCTCCCTTTTCCCTGCTCAATATCGCTTCCCACCACTTCGAAGCACTCTGAGATGGGAAGGGTGCTACAGAAATGCAAATTGTTGCTGGTTAAAGTCAACAGTTGTAGGAAACAGGTTGTTATTAAAAGGGGCACATTTCTCTTATGGAGTCCGAAAGGTGTGCTCTAAACCATACCACAAAACCAACCATATGCACCAAACTAATCGTTCTCAGCTCACTAAAGAACGATACTTATGTTTTGCAACTGATCCTGAAAGATGGGGATTTTGCCATATCAAATCAGAGATGTGATAAATTAAGATTTATTTATTTGGAACTCAAATATGAAATTGTGGTCTTCAAGATTAATAGTGGTAGATTATAGATTATAATAATCCTTTCATTTGATACAATGCTTTATTACATTGTCAAGACATCTCAAAATGCTTTGTAGGATATACTGTAAAGTGTAGTGACTGTTTATTTTGTAGTCATTTTGTGCACAGTAAATGTTCCACAAACAATCTTGAAGGGAATGACCAATTTTATTCGCAGAATGTTGACCAGGACACTGTCCCCCTGAACAGACAGACGGGATCTTGGTTTAACATTTTATCCACAGGACAGCCCTCCGACATTGCAATCTCCTCCCAGAGCTGCTTTGGCATGTCATCTTAGATTTTATGAGTTCAAAATCCCAATATAGTGCTCAAACCTACTGTCCTCTGACTCAGAGGTAAGAGTGCTACCAACTGAGTCAGGCGACTCTGACTCTGGTGAGATAAGCCCTACATCCTTGACACATCTGGAGGAATCGACATTCATGGCGACCTCTGCAGCTCTATTGCCAGGATGTGTATTGCAAACTTTCATAGGGTAAGAAACCTCCACTAAAGTTCTGATCGTACTGTAAGCGATTGTCTCTCGCCAATATTCTCTGCAGTTTGTACCAGAAATAGTGCTCAGCATGAGGGTTCTTTGGCCATTTGAGCACAGAGGCCCTGCACAGTTTCTTCCGTAGCTGAAGATACTTTGACTCCTTCAGGGACCCATCCAGCAGGACCAAGACGATGACGTCCGTCTTCTCATCCAGGAGGCGCTGGTGAGCAATGAAGAATGCCTGCCTCAACATCCCACTTACAAAATGGCCATTTGTCAGGATGAAGACCGTTTTCCTGCTTTTGTAGATGGCATCGTAAAGGTTTTCTATTGATGTCTTTCCTGGGATCCAGTCTCTCTCCTCAAGGCAGAGCTTGGAACTGAGTGGACCTCTCTTCTCAAGGTTGACCACGAGTTCGTGATAGACCCAATCAGCCACCGCCTCATGAGCAGTGTCAAAAACTATAAAGGCGTCGTACTGCAGGGTGCCGGAAGGGGTTGTTTTGCTGCCTTGCACTTTGGCAGCAATGACATGGAATGTGTACCAGAAATCCCAGCCAAAGAGTTTCTGTAAGATGGGCAGGAGCGTGAAGACGACTGTCACCAGAAAAGACAAGATGAACCCTACGCTACCGTAGATTTTCTGGCAGGAAAGAGGATCTGTCAGCAGGATGCTTTTCCCTTGTTCAGACTCTGGAAAGCCACATTTCCAATCTGTGGTAAGATACGCCAGGGTTACTTTGGTATCTCTTATGAAGCGAATGAACCAGTCGGAATCGCAAGTACATCTGAAGGGATTTTGGCTTAGGTTGAGGATGCTCAGTCTCCTCAGTAGCTGAGGGGGGAAGCTGTCTGCGTCTAAGAGCTTGATGAAGTTGTGGCTCAAATCCAGGTGGGTCAGACCCACCACCTTTGAAAAGAAGTCACTGTTCAGCTTGCGGATTTTATTTTTACGGAGAATAAGTTGGTGAAACGTTTGGGGAAAGTAATATGCTCTCTTTGGCAGCTGTTTGAGATAATTGGAGCTCAGGTCAAGCATTTCCAGGGCGGTCAGATTGCTCAGGCTGTCCCAGGGGAAAAAGTTGATCTTGTTGTTTTTGATGTAAAGCTGTCTCAGGCTTTTGGGAAGCTGGAGCATGGCCTCCCGGGGCACAGTCAGAAGCTTGTTGTTGGAAATGTCCAGCATGGTCAAGTTGTACAGGTTGGAGAAAAAGTTCAGGTAGGTGTTCTCTCCACTTTTCCACATGATGTTGAGTGAGTTGCCATTGAAATGCAACGTGTTTAAAGATTTGCTGTATAATTCTTTTGTCACTCGCTGACCTATTCGATTGTGCGCAAGGTTCAGGACCCTAAGGTTTTTGAGATTATTGATGAACATGAAACGGTGGCCCATGCCTTTCATTTGAAATGTGTAACTGTTGTAGCTGAGATCTAAAACTTCCAACTTGGGTATCTCAGTGAATGCCTCTTTATAGTAGAAATCAATCCTGTTGTGGGAGAGGTCGAGTCGCTTTAAATTCTTGAGGTGGGTGAACTGTTTCCCGTTCAGTGACTGGGTCATGTAATTACAGGACAGAAGGAGACACTCTATATGTTCCAATCCCACAAAATCCTCTTGCTGAATATCTGCAATGTTGTTTGACGACAGGTCAAAGACTTTATCTGATTTGGGGTCACAGAAATGTTGGTGAGATTTGCTGAACTGCGGCTCCTCAGAACTTCTCTCGATAATGTGCTGTCGATCACTGGCTGTTGACGCGATGGAAAAACTTTTATCCCCAGGACCATTAGGGCAGCAATATCGCTGGGAAAAGGAAATTTTGTTTTGAGACATGCCAATGTATCTCAGTGACGTATTATTGGCAAAGAGTTTCATGCTTATGTGCTGGATGAAGTTCATTCGGAAGTTCACGACCTGCAGGTTGGGGAGACTCAGCAACGGTGACAAGTCAGTCTTATTCATGTTCTTGAAGAAAAACCCGTCGATAAGAAATGTGGTCAACGATCTCAGGTTTCGAAAGGAGGGCGGGAGGGACAGGGTCGGAAAGGTTTTGTTTGGCTGATAATTATACATTACATTGAGCACTTGGAGTTTGGGGAGGGCCTGGTAGAAGGTGGCATTCTGGATTTCATTAGCAAGGAAGTTATCGGACAGATCCAGGACTGTGAGGTTCTCCAGTGATTCGAATATCTTGTCCTCAATGTGATTGAGAGAGTTACCCCTGAGCACCAATGTTCGCAGTTGGTGTTGATGGAGGAAGGCGTCATGAGATAGCTCGATGGACTTGTTGTCCTTACAAGGGAAGCAGGGCTGAGCTGCATGGTCACATCTCTGGCAGTTCCAAGCCAGCAGGAGATATTCCAATTGAGTGAGATTTCTGAAGTCCTCTGCGGAGATACTGGGGATCTTGTTCTCGGAGAGATCCAACATTTTTAAGTCTCTGGGAAGAGCCTTGGGCACAGTGGTTATGTTGTTGAACTTCAGGTCAAGGGTCTGCAGTTTAATCATGTTTTGGAATGTATCTCCCTCAATCGTGAAGGAAACATTGCATGGGTTCTTGTAGAAACAGTTCTTTCCAATGTAAAAATGGAGCAGGTTGGCGATATTGGAGACATTATCGAATTGCAGTTTAGCAACATTGTTCAGCTCGAAGTTTAAGATTTGGAGGGAGGTGGGCAGGCCTGGTATGATTGTCAAGCTGTTCCCTGCTAGATTTAAGGACGTTAAATGGTGGAGACGAACGAAAGCTCCGGGCTGTATGGTCACTTGGCAATCCAGCCCTGGAGGTCGCATTTTCCCGGGCAAACAGTTCATGCTCAAATCCAAATTCTCCAGTGACGGGAGCCCGGAAAAGGCATCGAGTTCTATCAATTCCAGGTGATTGTTGTTCAGAAACAGGTTGGTGATATTTGCTGACTTAATTTTTGGCACTGAGGTCAAATCCCGTTTGCTGCAATCTACATTGGCAGAGCTCACGTTGCCATCACAGGGCAGATAAATGGGAAAAATGCCCATCACGAGGCAGCTGTTGATGAGCACAAGGCAGATTTGACAGCAGTTTCTCCAGGCTCCCTGAAATAAATGGAGAAAGGAGAATGTTTTTTATCACTATAATAATAATAAATTTGATACAGCACCTTATCATGTCTTTGAGATGTCTCAAAGCGCTTCACAGAATATATTGTAAAGTGAATTGACTGTATATTTGTGGGCGAACGTGGCAGCCAAGTGTGCACAGCAATGTCCCACAAACAGTCGTGTATTGAGTAACCAAATTATTTTTATTTATTTTGAAGGAATTATTATCCCCGGAAAAGCAATCTACCAGTCGACTAACACTCGGGTTCCTACTTACTGCTAGGTAAACAGAGGCGTGTGGAATAAGGGCACTTGCCCAATGTTTCATCCTGCCGGGAATCGAACACACATCCTCTCGTTTGGGAGGCGAGCATTCTAACCACTAAACTACAGAACTCCACACTCTTCATATGACTCAAGTTGGTTAATCTTTGCAATTGTTGTAAATCTCAGTCTGGCTCAGTCAGCAGCTCTCACCGCTATTAATCAGAATGATTGTCAAGTGAGTTCCTTTTCTTACGTAGGCACAAACACCAGAAGCCATTTTGCACACATTAATTGGGACATTTGTTGGCCAGGACACTGGGAGAAACTCCCTTCTCTTTTCAAAGAGAGTTTCTTGGCCTGCACGCCCCCACCCCCACCCCAACCCCCCACCCCTTCAAATTTGGATAGCTCTTTTCAAAGATGGGCTGGATGGCCTCTTTCTGTGCTGTATAATTCTATGATTTTAATGAAACTAACCATGCCCACTGACTGTCTGATCACCTGCTCCTAGTTTTAAGGAGCGGGTTGAGATGCCATCCCCCAAAATGCCCTCTTTCCTGTGACGTATCCTCCATTACACCCGCTCACTTCCACTCTTTTACTGCCCTCCCCACCTCCCCTCCCTTCTCAACTGCCCCACAGCTTCCCTCTGTTCCAGCCTGGGAATCCTGTCCGACAGTAGCCACCCTGACTGTCCCATTCCTCATTTCCACCACAAGCGCCCGGGAACGGATCTCTCTTCTGTCATTGACATTCCCATGCTCCCTATCAGTATTCCTCCTCCCCACATCCTAAATACTCCTCTGCTGCCTGTCCTCTCTGCATCGCCCTGCAAAATGTCCGCTTTCTCCAATAAAACTGTCAATGTCCACAACCTCATTGTCAATGAAAATGTGGCATTCTCGCCCTCACTGAAACCTGGTTCACCCCGGGTGACAGCTTTCCCTTTCGCTGAGGCCACCCCACCTGGTTACACCTACCATCATACCCCAGGACCCAACCATCACAAATTGTGGCTCTCATCTCCAGGTCTTCACTGGGTCTTTCTCCTTACTCCTCCAGATCCTTCCCCTCCTTTAAAGCACATCCCTCTTTATCCTTCATCTAATGTTTCTCTTAAAATTTTCCTCATCTACCGCCCCACCCAAACCCTCCTGGACTTTCCTCTCTGACATTTCCACCCTCCTAACTTCTCTCTACCTCCTCATCTGAGGCGACTTCAACTCCCAAAGATATCTGACTTCCTGTCCTCCTGCAAAGATCTTACCTCCTCAGTCACTCTCCTCTACAACTCCCTCTCTGTTACCCTTGACATTCTTGCCCCCGTCACCTCCCACAAAGCCTCCTACTCCCGCAAGTCCAAACAGAAATTTAAAGATCTCTCTTTTTCATTTCACAGAGCTGGGAAATTTTGCATACAATTATAATAAACATTATGGAATTGAAAGAGGCCATTTGGCCCAACTAGTCCATGCTAGTTTATACTCTGCATGAGGCTCCATTCCTATTTACTCTTGTACACCTCTCTTCTCTTCTCCCTCATAAATATGTTACAGTAAAATTGTGAAACCATGAAATCACCGAAATTAGGAGTCAGGGATTTCATGAAAAAGTGGTCATTTCATCATATTGATAACATTTTAGCTTTGCTTTGAAGCATTTACAATGGTTGGTCTGACATTTCTTCTAACTGCAGAAATATCGGTTTAATGTCTCACCTGAAGGTCGGCACCTCCGACAACACAACTGTTCTTCTGAACATTACACTGGGGCGTCTGCCTATTTCATGTGAAAAATTAGGATTTGGTTTTTGCTAAAGCTCTGACTGTGGTATATCCCAAGATTCTGACCTGCCTGTCAGTAAATAGTTGGAAAGCCATATAAAAAGTAAAATTTTTAATACACTTACTGCGCTACACATATTTGCCAGATTTGTCTGCAGTTTCTGTCTCAGAAGACTGTAGTAATCCAATCCACAGTGACTGCAGCCTCTGTTCAGCACTGACTTGAGAAGTGCTCCAATGAGCTGGGGATACAATGATCCCCTGAGATGTATGAATATTTAAATAACATTGTGATGCTCTTCGCAGTTTCATTTCTTCTCTGAAATTGGAAACAGTTGCAGCATGACTAGGTGCTGATAAATTAAAAATATTCTTGAGGTCTATTTTGGGTAAACCTCCCGTATGTTAATCAAAACCGCAGATACTGTCACACAACATTTGAGAATCAGATCTGCCCTCTCTTCAGCCTGGGAGACTATAGAGGAGACTTGTGGAGGTTTATTTTCTATCTATCTTCTTCTATACTAATAATCTATCTTCTATACCAATAAAATGACAATGTCTGTCTGCGTTTCAAGAAGGATCTCAATAACCGATTGGTGTAGAGACATGATTTATACCTCATTGGAAAGGTCTTGCATCTGAGAGTGACATGGGCATATCTGTTTTCAGGTATCTCCTAACGTTCATGAGTTATTTTTAGTTTTGTGTTGGTCACTGCAGTTACACCTGGTGGCTGCTGAGTCAAAGTGGCGCTGTGGCATCGCGCGTCTCAGAGCAGCTATTTATGTACGCACACGCTACAGTTACACCTGATGGATGCACTGGCTGACTGTGGGCTGTGGCGTCACAAAGCACGCACGTAGCGACAAAACTACATCGCAACAACAACAACAAAATTACATTTTTAAAGCGCAGAGACCTCCCACTGAGTCCTCCCAAAAGGCGTCCTCCCACAGAAGTCCTCCCAGATGAGTATAGATAAAGATGACATTTTTGTCTGTGTGTCTATATTCCATACTGGATCCTTTGGTTGCAAGCGAAGCCGCAATGGGTACAGCTAGTAGATTATAAATGAGATTGAGAAAGTAAACGCAGAATTATACTTGTTATTTAAAAACATAAGAACATAAGAATCAGGAGCAGGAGTAGGCCATTCGGCCACTCGAGCCTGTGCCCCGCCATTCGATAAGATCATGGCTGATCTTCTGACCTAACTCTAATTACCTGCCCTATCCCCATATACCCTAATCCCTTTATTTTTTAAAAATCTATCAGTCTCAGCCTTGAAGATGTTCAAGGACTGAGCATCTACAGCCTTCGGGGTAGAGAATTGCATCATTTCACTATCCTCTGAGTGAAGAAATGTTTCCTCAACTCTGTTCTAAAAGGCTGACCCTTAATTTTAAGACTGTGACCCCTGGTTATAGATTCTCCTGCCGGGGAAACAGACCCTCAGTGTCTACTTTATCAGCCCTTTAAGAATTTTATATGTTTCAATAAGATCTCCCCTAATTCTTCTGTACTCTAGAGAATATAGCCTTAGTTTATTCAGCCTATCCTCATAGGTCAGTCCCCTCATCCCAGGAACTAACCGAGTGAATCTACGCTGCACCCCCTCTAGGGCAAGTATGTCCTTTTTTAAATAAGGAGACCAAAACTGCACACAATACTCTAGGTGCGGTCTCACCAAGGCCCTATACAGTTGCAGCAAGACTTCCCTACTCTTGTACTCTAAACCTTTTGCAATGAACGCTAATATGCCGTTCGCCTTCTTAGTTGCTGCTGCACCTGCAAACTAACTTTTTGAGATTGGTGTACAAGGACACCCAAATCCCTCTGAACACTAACACTATCTAATCTCTCCCCCTCTAGAAAATAATCTGTTTTTCTATTTTTCTCTACCTAGGTGAATAACTTCACACTTCCCCACATTAAATTCCATCTGCCACCTACTCGCCCACTCCCCTGGCCTATCTATATCCCGTTGCAATCTTTTTGCATCATCCTCAGAGCTTACTCTCCCACCGAGTTTAGTGTCATCCGCGAATTTAGATACGTTACATTCAATGTCGTTGTCTAGATCATTGACGTCAATTGTAAATAGCTGAGGCCCAAGCACTGATCCTTGTGGCACTCCACTAGTCACATCCTGCCAATTCGAGAATGACCCATTTATCCCTACTCTGTTTTCTACCCGTTAGCCACTCTTCAATCCATGCTAATATGTTCCCATTAATCCCGTGGGCCTTAACCTTGTGCAATAGCCTTTTGTGTGACACTTTGTCGAATGCCTTCTTAAAATCTAAATATACTACATCTACTGGTTCCCCCCTATCTAACCTGCAAGATACATCTTCAAAAAACTCTAAAAGATTAGTTAAGCACGACTTCTCTTTTGTAAAGCCATGTTGACTCTGCCTAATCTTGTTATGGTCTTCCAGGAATCCCATAACGACATCCTTAATTAAGGACTCAAGAATTTTCCCTACCACTGATGTCAGACTAACTGGTCTATAGTTCCCCATCTTTTCTCTCCCACCCTTCTTAAATAATGGTGTAACGTTTGCAATCTTCCAATCAATGGGAACCGTTCCAGAATCCAGAGAATTTTGGAAGATCAAAGACAAGCCATCCACTCTAGAGAATATAGCCCTAGTTTATTCAGCCTATCCTCATAGGTCAGTCACAGTGGCCACAGTAGCCACCTCTTTTAAAACCCTAGGATGTAGGCCATCAGGTCCAGGAGATTTATCAGTTTTAAGACCTGATAATTTACCTAAAGCCATTTCTTTACTAATATTAATTTCCCCAAGTTGCTCGCTAACATTTTCTTCTTGGTTCCCCTCTATTCTTGGTAGGTTTTCAGTGTCTTCTAAGGTGAAGACAGTAGCAAAGTACTTGTTTAATGACTCTATCACGTCTTTATTCCTTACTATAATTTCCCCCGTCTCTGCCTCTAACGGACCCACATTTACCTTTGACAGCTTCTTTCTCTTTATATATTTTTAAAAACTCTTGCAGTCTGTCTTTATGTTCCTCGCTAGTTTGCCCTCATATTCCATTTTCTCCCTCTTAATTACTTTTTTGGTTCTCCTTTGTTGATCCCTAAAGTTCTCCCAATCCTCGGGTTTCCTACTCATCTTAGCTATTTTATAGGCTTCTTCCTTTAACTTTGTACTTTCCCTAACTGCTCTAGTGAGCCACGGTTGGGCCACCTTTCCTGTAGCATTCTTATTCCTCAAAGGAATACGTGCTCGCTGGGAATTTTGCACTATCTCCTTAAACGTCTGCCATTGCTGGTCTACTGTCAAATCCTTAAGTCTAATTTCCCAGTTTATTTCAGCTAAATCCTCTCTCATACCAGCAAAATTGGCTCTACTTAAATTTAAGACCTTTGCTTCGGACTTAACTGCTTCTTTCTCTAACTTAATGCTAAATTCCATCATATTATGATCACTTTGCCCTCGAGGAGCCCTAAGTTCCAGTTTGCTGATCAGCCCTGCTTCATTACACAAAACAAGGTCTAATATGGTGTGTTCCCTGGTTGGCTCCTCGGCATACTGATCTGGATAATTATCCCTAATACATTCTATAAACTCTTCCTCTATTATACTTTTCCCAATTTGGTTGTCCCAATCTATGTGCAGATTAAAATCACCTACAATTAATGTTTTTCCTTTGCTACATGCTCTGCTAATTTCCTGATTTATACCTTGAGAGATACTGTGACTGCTGTTCGGGGGTCTATAAACTACTCCCACTAGAGTTTTCTGCCCCTTGTTGTTACGTACCTCTACCCATACTGACTCTACTTCCTGCTTTTCTGATTTAAATCCTTTCCTCTCTACTGTTTTTATCCCATCCTTTATTAGCAGGGCCAACCCCCTCCTCATTTACCACATTGCCTGTCTTTTCTATACACCACGAACCCTGGAATATTTAGCTCCCACCCTTGATCTCCTTGTAACCATGTCTTGGTGATGGCTACCAGATCATACCCGTTTGTTTCTATTTGTGCATTTAGTTCATCCATCTTGTTTTGAATGCTTCGCGCATTCAGATATAGCGCCCTTAATTCTGACTTCAGGCTATTAGTCCTATTCACCAGAACCCTATCCCTGGGCTTCTTTTCCCCGCTTGCCACACTTTGCTCATCTCCCTGGTTAATCTGCTCTTCCACTTTCATCGGTCCTAATTTTAATTGTGACGGATTACATGTGATTGATTTTACCACCTTAGTAGTTTAAAGCCCTGTCTACCTCCCTACTGTCTACCTCCCTTGCTGTATTCTCTCCTGTTTTTCTCTTTGTTATCTATTCTGTACTTTTCAAATGCTTTTTTTGCTTTACTGCAGTTTTGCCTTCACCTCCTTATTCATCCATGGCGTTCCATTAATATTTAATTTTCCCTTATTTCTTAATGGAATATATCTCTCCTGTGCCTTTTCTATCTCATGCTTAAAAATCATCCACTGTTGTGCAACATCTTAAATAATCCTTAGTAATAATCCTTGCATTTGATATAGGGCCTTATCACGTCTTCGAGACGTCTCAAAGCGCTTCACAGAATATACCGTAAAGTACATTGACTGCATATTTTGTGGGCGAAACGCGGCAGCCAATTATACACAGCAGTGTCTCACAAACGGTTGTGGATTGAGTGACCAAATTATGTCCTGGCCAACAATCCCCCCCAAATAAAATTGGTCATGGCTGCTTGTGAGACCTTCCTGCGTGCATATTGGCAGCTGCATTCATGCAAAAAAAACACACTTCCAGTGGGACTTCCTCTTGACATGAAATGAGGTATACCAAATGTAACTATTATTATTACTATGTAGTTTACTATTGCAGTTTAAATTACTCTGTAGAGGTAATTTCCAAGTGTTTTTCAGTGATGGGTCAGCCAGACCAATAACACTGCCACATTACATATGAATGGATATTATTTTTCTTAGTATGTTTGAGCTTCATAAAATAACAGAAGATTGATATTTTGTTCACCAGGTATTTTATCACGCTGTTTTCGGATAGTCTTATTAACAGTCCCTAATGCACCAATGATTATTGGAACTGTATTTGTTTTATGTATGTACACATTCAATTTGTAGGTCGATATTTTTCTTGATTTAATCTCATTCCTTGTAA